CCCTTTCCTCTCTCACAAAATCCAATTGAAGCTGCTGTTCTCCCTTCGACACTGTAGTTTTGCGTTTTTCTCGTGGATTTGGCTGTCTCAAGGACCAATTTCCTGTTCCTCTATATCAAAAGGTTTGTATTTCATCTAAAATCATTGATAAATTTAAAAAACGAGATGATCTGGAGTTGATATTTGTGTTAAAAATTTTGTTTGTTACTGAATGAGGTTAAAAACGAAATGGTCTGGGTTTTGCTTGTTCATAAATGTAATTCAAAAGTATAGACTTCTTTTGGCAACTTCTCCAGAGTACTATTTTAGTCAAATTGTTATGTATTTGAAGCTTGTATAGGATAATGACGGGGATAAGTAAAAAGTTATTGGAAAGCCAATGGCAAGATCAACCTCCCCCATCTAGGAAATTTCAATTTCTTTTACATACATGAGGCTTGTGTTTGGAAGGAACTTAGGTTTATTTATTTACAAATAACATTTACATTACCGTAGAGTATTTTCTGTAAAAACAAGCGTTTATGATTTCTCTAAAGGACAAAATGCTGATAGAGAATGATTAGAGTTTTACAAAGATTTTTCCTTCAAATTTGCCATAATTCTAGAACCATTTGCAACAACTTTGTAAAGAAAATATATCTCTTTGTCCCTAATCCCCACATCACCAAGATCGTGGCCCTGCCCTTAGGAACAACTAAAACTAGTTGAGTCTTTCACCTAGCAAGAATTATATAATTCCTAAATAATTTCATAAAATCAACCGCAAGGTATTTTCATGAGAATGAAGCTTGGGAATGTGTTCTCTTTCTATAATTCCTATTATATTGTTTTGATATGAGATGTATGCCTTTTATCATATGTCCTTGAACTTATTTTGTTATTTCCTTCTATGTAGCAAATATGAATCCTTTTTTACTATTTCATTTGTTTTGTTATTTTTCTTTCCTGGGTTAAGAAATGACAATCGATTTGGATATTTCAGACTAATAGGTTGTCTCATGAATATAGAAATGGTGTTCTCTCTTTCATAGAAAGCTTGAATTTCTTAGACCAAGAAGGAAACATGATGTCCATTTGCTCTTGTGTAAAAGGTATATTACAAAATTTAGAAACAATTAAAAGCCATCTAATAAATAGTCTAAACATGGGTATTTCATGGAGAAAGTTATCCTGCAACCACTTCTAATACTACATCTCCTGGTGACATAAAGGAGAGCAGTGATGATGATTTTGTTGATCCAATGTTGAATGTAATACAAGACTTCGCTTGTTCAAGTTCCAATCAAGTAGAGCCTAATGATGAAGGATCACCCCATGTTGCTTTTGATAGTCAAAATGAGGTTGATGCAAGTGACGATGACATTGTGTTAGGAAAGCACGGCAATTAGAATATACTCTAGTATCACCAATTGTGTGAATTACTTTGCATCATGTAATTTGTAAATATTTAGGTAAGGTAATTATGTACACATCTCTATTAACTTTTAAATTCATGTATACTTGTTAACTTTACATATGTGATTTTGTATATTTAGGTGTAGCACGAGTTCTCTTCCCAATGCATGAAGATGGTAGTTCAACGATGCAATCCTAAAATCCCATTTCAGGTACTCATGTGATTTTTTTTTTATAATCATTTTACACTTATGATTCATCAAGTTAGCTGCATTTGATTTTTCCCCCATATTATGTTTTGGTGTTAATACTTGGGTAAGCATTATATTATTTGAAAATTGCTAGGTTTTCGAGTTATTGGCGATCTTTAGACAAAAACATAGTTGTAAAAAGTTTTAAAACTAAAAGAGTTAAGTGGTAGGTTGTATAGATGGGTTAGAAGTCCATAGGATCATCTACAGCATCGTATTTTTTATTTACTTGAACTTATTTTTTGTGACCAAGTATGCGTACAACCAATGAATAGTTACGTAATTTTCATAACTTTGTTTAGATTTATGTGGAGTACTTAGTATAGGCCTCTTCATGTACCATCTGCACAGTATACAATATGATCTTGTGGGTGAGTCTTGATCACATATGTGAGATTTGGGATGATGTTTATGTATTGGCGACGTCTCCTCGAACATTAATTAATCTGTAACTAAAGCTCTAGTATATTTCCCCAAAAGCAGTCTAAGAGTAAAAATTTGAAATATATTACAAAATGAGCATTATCTTATACTTTTCTACGGAGCATATTTGACTCGAGCAATTAAGCTTGAGGGATTTCTTATAACCTGATGCCCTATAGTCAACTGACTTGGAGTCATGGGCACAAAGCTTGTTACAGGGGTTATTTTAGTCGCTTAATGGATATGAGATTACACATGAAATAATTAAAAAAAAAATTGCCTACTGATAGGGAAACAAGTTTAGACATCAAAAAATCAATATGAGCTTGTTTATTTAAAAGGTCCTAGTAGTGCTAGATTTACCTTTCATTAATAGAGAGAAATACTTATTTTGCAGTGATGTTTAGCATGCCATTTATCATAGTTTTAAGGTTTAAAGTCTTGCTCACAAGGAATTAGTGGCAATTTTTAAAAATTTACTACATTTAAACTTGATCTGAGTATGCAGAAAAGTTTTTCGATTCATTGATAATATCTTCTTGTGATCAATTGCATTTTTGAGTTAACATATATGTTGGAGTGTGTGCCATGATTTTTTAAAAAATCCATATTTCAAAATTTCAAAAATAAAGTACTAATTTTGTTAAAAAGTTTTCACCCACTTGGTGCTGAGGCATCGCTTAAGTGTAAAAAGCAAAGGCTTTGTCACTAGTCTATTGCTCGCCTCTCGCTCAAGTGCATCCTAGTATTTGAATTCCATCGCAAAGAACAAATGTCATTTTTTTGAATCTCTTTCTATTTTCACTTAAATTCTATCTCGCCTAAGTCCACTTTGGGACTTCAAACTTCAATTGATGTGTTTATATTTTTCGTAAGAGCTCATAACATAAACTAATTCCATATTTTATTGAATTAATGGTAAGAAATAGTTTTATCCATAATGTTCACATTTTTTTTGTTTTTGGCACCAATTCATACATCTACAATGCAAAAATTTTCAAATTGCATCATTCATTTCAAAAATTCCGAGTTTGAAGCTTAAACTCGAGTATTAGGGTTCTTTGAGCTTTTTTTGGGATTCTTCTTGATTTTGGATTCGTTCTTAATGTATTATAGGATAGAATTTAGATTTTGGAGTGTTGAGTTGTGAATTGCATTGGTTAATGAGAGTGTGGTTGGATGAGTTGTGGTTTGCACGTTATGCTTTACACACACACGCCACTTGTTTTATATATTGTCTTATCAACCTTTTTGTTCAATTTTTAACACATAATTGATCAAATACTTTGAGCACACCCTCATGAGCATGTCTAGGTAATCACATGCACTTTTGCTTTTTTCATTGAATTTGACATTGACACAATATCACCCATGTTTGCCCTTTGTCACCATACGTCAAGGCATTGCGTCCCCCTGCATCTTTACCCCTGTATCCTGGTACCATGAAACCTGTGTCCATGCATTGCATGGCCTTCCGTCATATCTCACAAGCATTGGATAGTTTCTACATTATTTTGAGTGCATTGGACATTTTTTGCATTATTTTGCGCACAATGGATAATTTTACATTATTTTGCGTGTATTGCATAGTTTTTGCATTGATTTTCATGCTTATGATAGTTTTGGTGTTTGAGGACTTTTTCGTACCATTTAGCGTACATATAGCCTATTTGTCTCATTTCACGTACATTCATGTATATCGGTAATTAGTTGTTCAAAGATGTGTATAGTATCTGTAGTTGCATCTATTGATGTGTTTTCTCTTGTAACTTGTCATAGATGTTTCCTAAGAGAGTGAGGACTGCTGCACAGACATCTATTGAATCGACTTCCTTTAGTGGGTCTAGATTCATCTCTTCTATTGTTCATGATGTTTTTGGGACTCAATTTTTTTATGCCCTATCCTGGTAGAGAGTAAGGTAATCATTTTTAATCATTTTTCTCTATCTTGTTCCATTTTTACTTCACGTTGATGCAAGCCCTTGAGTTGTCTACTCCGCTAGTCTCCTTGTCCAAGAGTTCTACGCGAATATTTATGATATTAACGGGTTGACCTTTAGGTTTTTTCTTTGGGGTAAGATACTTAGAGGGTGTTTGGGAGCCATTTTTATGTAAAAATGCATTTTAGAATAGTAAATTGATGGGAAATGTGTGGTTGAAAAATAAGGAAAAGCTTTTGATTTACGTGTAATATTATTTTAATGAAGAAAGTGTAGTTGAAAAGAAGAGAGAGAAATACATTTTAAAAAAAATGGGTACCAAATGGGGCCTTAATATCATTCCTGATGTCATAGCTAGTATTATTCATATCCTCAGAAAGACATTAGGCACAATCGCTCGGATGATGTGATTATAATTTTCGACCCCAACTTCCGATCAGAATTCAGGATCTACAATTGGTGTTCTATATGACCGACATAAGACTCGACTTGTTAGAACATATCCTGTTCCTAGACCCATTATATAGAATCGAAGTGTAATGACCCAGAAGGATAAAAGAGTAAGCCAAGCGGGCGAGACGGGAAGAGCTAAACATCGAATGAACAATCTCCTTCGGACCCTTGACATTTCATTGCCTTACCTCTAGATAGATGAGCCTGGCTCGTGTGGATTAGCTACCTTCCTTTCCCCTGCTTTCTCTGCTCGTGGTCCGAATCAACCTCAACTGGTGCTTTCATAAGCGACTTGCTGAGTCTATGAAGCTTTGCTTCTTCTAGTCGGCTTGTAATGCCTCTATCCATTATTCTCATATTTATCTGTTGACACCCTCTCTACAGACTCTTTTGTTTGATCAACACTATTTAATAGCCCCTTAGGTCGGGTTTGACTGCTATTCGTACTAGATCCCTACTGACTGACTGACAGATTTTGTTGCGTAATGTGTGTACGAATCTGTGGCTAGTCTCCAACACCTTTTCTTTATCCATGGACAATGCTAGGTTTCTTTATGCGCTTTTGCATGGCAACTCTATAGACCTTCCTACTTTCATATGCCATCAGATTTTACGTACTTTTAGGATTGGTCTTCCTAACACCTGCTTGATTCATCGTCTCGTGATAACTCTTGGGGATACTTTTCCTAATTGGATTGTGGGGAGGGTTTTTCGGCCTATTGGCCACACTACCATTCATTGAGTAGGTCTCATGTTCCTTTTTCTTCCGTTCTGTGATTGTACCAGCTGATCCTACGGTGATCTACTTTCTATTGATACATCTGATATTTCTCCATCTAGATTAGATATCCATATTTCCATCACTGACATTCTATCGTCTTCTACCTCTGCTCCACCACCACTTACTGATCCTTTTTTGCCATCTACTTCTATTTCCATAGACCTTTTTATAGATCTCATGGACAGATCTCTGTGATGATCGAGCATCAGGCTCGTATGATAACTGAGATTACACAGTTGACAACCAACACAAAGCGTCATATAACAGAGTTTGCCACACTTCATGGTGCGATCGCATTCAGCGAGGAGTCTGATGGATTCGTGAGCATTTAGAGGATGATGTTGATGATTCTGATGAGGTAGTAAATAGGGATGCTGCTGCTGCTGATTAGCTGTTAGGTATCCCCTTGTCATTTGTCACAAAAGAGGGGAGTAGGTAGTGTGTTATGTTGATTTGATTTGAAAATATCTTTTGACACTCTTTGAGATGTATATGATATTATCTTCTATTTAGCTAAATTAAATTTTGATGTTTAGTGACATCGATGCTTGTTTTTGGTGTATTGGATTACATTAATATTGCATCTTAATTTAATTGGCATGATTTTGAGCTAATGAAAAAACTGTCTCAAGCTTCTTCTTTTATTTTATTTTATTTTATTTTTTTTTTGGTTACTATTTTCACATGATTTTATAGTTGATATTTGAATTACTATTTTAGGAAATAGGTTTGAAAAAAGAAAAGTAAGATTCAACTGAGCCAATTGGATTGGGTAGATTAGATTGGATATCTTGGATTTGTAATACATGTTTTGTCATACAACGCCAAAAGGATGTTTTGTTAGGCTTTAGAGTTGTTGGCAATCTTTAGACAAAAATGTAGTTGTAAAAGAATTTTAAAAGTGAAAGAGTCAAGTGGTAAGTTGTATAGATGAGTTAGGAGTTCTTGGGGTCATTTATGGAACAAAGGAAAAAGTTGTTGAAATTATGCTAGCCTACCACCAAACTGTTGCTCGAGCTTCCAAAATTGTAGTATTGTCGCTAGCCTACTACCTGCCTGCCTATCGCTCACCTATTGCTGGGCTCTCATGGTGTTTCCCAAGAAACCCTAATTCGAATTTTTTAAGAGTTTTGTCTAGTCTATACTATCCAAAACCTCTATACTTTACATACCTACTCCCCATTTCAAAAAAAGTGTTGGGTTGAATATTGAGTTAAACATAAAATCACTTCTTACACAGCATGCAAACGGTTCCTCTCTTAATTTAACCATATCATTGAAAACATTAAATCTATATGATGAAAAAAAAAACCCTAAAACACATACTTTTTTGTGACCTATCAGAGTTCTCAAGATCAAGAAAGGTGACCGAAGTTCTAGTTGAAGGAGAACGAGTTCAATGATCCACAGAAGATAGACGATTCCAAAAGGCCGAGAGTTGGTGCAGGAACATACAATCTAGAAGGACTTTGATGATTACAATCAGAAGGTTAGAAAGTATTAAAGTTATTCGAGTTTGACAGTAGTGTAAGTTGATTAATTTATAGTGGATTCTTGCTAGCTTGGAAAATGAGTTTTTATTTTTATCCAGCGAGGGGTTTTATCCGTCATAATTTTCTAGTGTTATTTACTTTTTAGCAATTTATTAACTATAATAATTCAATATAGAATAGTTTTTTCATGTGAATTCATCCGGATTAACTAATAACTGTGACTTGGAGCATTTATTAATCGTTAAGTTTAAAGTCCACATAAAATACGTATTCACCCCCTTTAGGTGTTTACATGGTCGAACTTCATAGTTTCAAAAATGATAATATTTTATTGTAGATCCTTTTCGGAAATGATGAGAATGAGATCCTACATGCGGAAAACAAAGTGAGGATGCTGTGGTTACCATTAAACATAGATTGTAAGTAGAATTTAACAAAAATGGAGAAGCTATTGGAGGGAATGCATGTGCTTTGGCTAATAAAATTGGATTTATTGTTCGTTTGATGGTACCTCTAGCAGTACAACAATGGAACGAGATTGGCGATGCTTCTAAGATCCACTTTTGGATTGTCTAAATGAGGTTCGAGATCTTCATTCTCAATTAAAATCTGAGCAGACATTCTTAAATTGCATTCATGAAGAGTTTCTTCAACCAATGGTTTAAATGTCGATAATTAATATGTTTTTTACTTTATTTCTGATGATGTAGTAATAGTTATATATTTTTATTTGATCGAGGCAGTAGTCTTTTAACTCTATGTCTAGTTGTTTTTTATGTTGAGAATATTATTGGTAGAACTAGGTGAATTTTTTGTTTAAGTCGTGATATTTGATATAATTAACATCTAGTTATAGTTGATGTTGAGATATTTTAATTTATTGAATGCCCAAGAAAATTTTAGTTCTTGTTAATGTTTTTATAACTGCTTTCATTTACTTCTTATAATTGTTTATAGTGGTGGGTAATGTTTATTTGTAGCATGATGTGAATGTGTAAAAGTTATAGAATCATGAATATTACCATTGAAGATTACATTTCTCATTATTTTAATATTTTGATTGTTAATATATATGTTTTACAACCACTTCTTTCATTGTTGAAAAGAAAACTAACTAAATTTTAGTTACTTCAATGATATTTTATCGATAAAAATAATTAATACAACGACAAATCAAGCAATTGTTGAAACAAAATTAATTGGTTGTCTATACTTATTTTTAACAGCTACATTCTACGACCATTTATATAGTTGTTGAAGGTGATGTCCTGTATTGATATCATCAGAGAATAGATCAATACGAAAGAGATCAGTTTAGTCACATCACGAGTATTATGAGAAATAGAAAAGACTAGATGTGCTCAAGAAACACAACATGCCAAAAAACATATACATTTTTATTATGGGATTAGAACAACGATAACCCTTTTAACTTTACCCATAATCTAAAAAAACACAAATAGCAAAGTGAGATGTCAGCTTACAACGTTCGACTTCAAGACGAAGAAAAAAAGTTATTACAACCAAAGACTCTAAATGAGGAGTAATCAGGAGGATGCCTAAACATCGTATCAAAGGGTGATACTTGAGGTATGTTGAAGGTGAAATCTTATTAATTAAAGAAATAGCAACGAAAAATATTTCTCTCCAAAATTCATTAGGAACATTGGCAGACAAAAGAAGGGAGCGGGGAGTTTCTACAATGGGCCTATGCTTTCGTTCAGCAACATCATTTTGTTGTAGGATGTTAGTATGTGAGGTTTGACGAATTGTGACATCAAGAGCAAGCAATTCAGGGGGAATCAATTGAAGTATACTCTCCACCCAAGTCATATCTAAAACGCATAATTACAGTAGAACATTGAATTTTAATAAGTGCTCTAAAAGAACGATAAATAAAAAGAAAGTGAAAACATCGTTTCATATGATAAATTCAATAATAACGATTATAATCATCAATAAAAGACACATAATATCTAGAACTTCCTCTTGTGGTAATAGGAGCATGTCCTCACATATCAAAATGAACATAATCAAATGGCTCAACATAATGAGAAATACTTCGAGAAAAAGATAAAACAGAAAATTTATCTAATTTTCAAACACTACAATTAGAAAATATCATGAGTTTGCAAATCTCCCAATTAATTCTTAGAAACTAAAAATTTCAAACAACTAGTGGTACATGTTCAAGGCAAAAATGCCACAAATAAAAAATAGAAAAAGAGAAATTCAAAGAGAGAGATGATATATGTTTATCAAATTTTTTATTGACTTGAATCGTATTTTTAGGAGAATGCGTGATTAAAAAATAGGGTAAAGTTTTCGATTTACGTGGAGAATATTTATTGTGTGAATGTGTGATTAAAAATAATCCTCTAACAAAAAAAGTTTTAAAACAATGGACACCAAACATGGGCTAAATGTCAAGTCAACTTGATCATGGATTCAGAGTTGGAAGTTGCCAAGCTGCTCAATTTGTTGTTCATATAGTCTTTCCCGCTTCAAACACTGTATAGCCGCTGCATGATACTACTATTTCCAGATAAGTAGGCTTCAAAGTTCAATATAAAGCCTTTCATAGGCACTAAAAGCTACGTGAACAAGGGTTCTAGGATCCCAAGTTCATATAAGAAATAATAGTGACTCAAGTTAACTGACCAAGAAGAGAAACCAGATATAAGCCAATCTTATATGCAAAATCAAGTTTTACTTTGGAATTAAACTTGGAGCTAGAAACATTACTACATGATTATTAAAAAAAAAAGGAAAAAAGAAAATAATAACTGAACTAGTTCATTCTGTCCAAAGCCAATTGAATAGTTGTATTCTTTTGATTCCAACAACGTCAATTGTTCTATTTCTTAAACCTCTATAAACCTTTTTATTGTTGATCTAATCCGTATTTGATTATATACCATGTAACCCTTCCATTGCTCTTAAAATAAAGGGCATGCTGGGAAGTTTTTATCACGTGTTTTGACCGTTTTCTAATGGCATCTTTATGATAAGTTAAGAAAATCAGTGCTTGTTAGATTTTTAGGGCATTGATTTTGGTTGACTTAAAAGTTGGTTGATTTTGTAAACCACCAAAACTAGTGTAATTTGGATCGTATTTTTCGACCCACAAAATCTATAAATTTTCTTTTAATTCAACCTCGCTGAAACAATTATGCTACAAACAAAAATTTAATTATATATAAAAAAAATTATAAACAAATAAAAAATACAATAAGTAAAGAAATTTATTTATAGGAAAAAAATCAGTTTATAATTAAAAATTTACTTATAAGTACATTGAATTTTAATAAGTGCTCTAAAAGAACGATAAATAAAAAGAAAGTGAAAACATCGTTTCATATGATAAATTCAATAATAACGATTATAATCATCAATAAAAGACACATAATATCTAGAACTTCCTCTTGTGGTAATAGGAGCATGTCCTCACATATCAAAATGAACATAATCAAATGGCTCAACATAATGAGAAATACTTCGAGAAAAAGATAAAGCAGAAAATTTTAACTAATTTTCAAACACTACAATTACAAAATATCATGAGTTTGCAAATCTCCCAATTGATTCTTAGAAACTAAAAATTTCAAACGACTAGTGGAAACATGGTCAAGGCAAAAATGCCAGAAATAAAAAATAGAAAAAGAGAAATTCAAAGAGAGAGATGATATATGTTTATCAAATTTTTTATTGACTTGAATGGTATTTTTAGGAGAATGCGTGGTTAAAAAATAGGGTAAAGTTTTTGATTTACGTGGAGAATATTTATTGTGTGAATGTGTGATTAAAAAAATCCTCTAACAAAAAAAGTTTTAAAACAATGGACACCAAACATGGGCTAAATGTCAAGTCAACTTGATCATGGATTCAGAGTTGGAAGTTGCCAAGCTGCTCAATTTGTTGTTCATATAGTCTTTTCCGCTTCAAACACTGTATAGCCGCTGCATGATACTACTATTTCCAGATAAGTAGGCTTCAAAGTTCAATATAAAGCCTTTCATAGGCGCTAAAAGCTACGTGAACAAGGGTTCTAGGATCCCAAGTTCATCTAAGAAATAATAGTGACTCAAGTTAACTGACCAAGAAGAGAAACCAGATATAAGCCAATCTTATATGCAAAATCAAGTTTTACTTTGGAATTAAACTTGGAGCTAGAAACATTACTACATGATTATTAAAAAAAAAAGGAAAAAAGAAAATAATAACTGAACTAGTTCATTCTGTCCAAAGCCAATTGAATAGTTGTATTCTTTTGATTCCAACAACGTCAATTGTTCTATTTCTTAAACCTCTATAAACCTTTTTATTGTTGATCTAATCCGTATTTGATTATATACCATGTAACCCTTCCATTGCTCTTAAAATAAAGGGCATGCTGGGAAGTTTTTATCACGTGTTTTGACCGTTTTCTAATGGCATCTTTATGATAAGTTAAGAAAATCAGTGCTTGTTAGATTTTTAGGGCATTGATTTTGGTTGACTTAAAAGTTGGTTGATTTTGTAAACCACCAAAACTAGTGTAATTTGGATCGTATTTTTCGACCCACAAAATCTATAAATTTTCTTTTAATTCAACCTCGCTGAAACAATTATGCTACAAACAAAAATTTAATTATACATAAAAAAAAATTATAAATAAATAAAAAATACAATAAGTAAAGAAATTTATTTATAGGAAAAAAATCAGTTTATAATTAAAAATTTACTTATAAGTAAAAATCACTAATAAGACAAAAATTCACTTTTATGTAAAAAATACTTTTATAAAGTAAAATTCTAGTAATAAGACAAAAATTCACTTATAAATATAAAAACTTGTAAGTAAAAAATTTGGTCATGTATAAAAAATTACTTATGAGTATAAAATTAACTTACGTAAAATTTATTTATAAGTAAATGTTTACTTATAAAATTAAAATTTTAATAACTAAAAATTTCACTTTTAAGCTAAAAATTATCTTATATGTAAAAAATACTTATAAGTATAACATCACACGAATTAAAAAAAAAATTATAAATTGAAAATTCACTTAGTGACGTATAAATTTAGTCCTTGTTTGGTCCCATTATTTTTTCAAAATATATTTTCTCTTTCTTATTTTCAACTACATATTTTTCAATAAAATAATTTTACACGCAAACTCAAACATTTCCTTATTTTTTAACTACACAATTTTTTTTTATCCAAATATAATTTCAAAATACATTTTGAACAAAAAATGAAGCACAAAACTGCTCTTATTCTGTTTACACATACATATTTTTTTATACTGAACACATATGTATCTTTTAAAAAGCTTTTAGAACGGATGAATCATTAACTTTCAATTATGGGTCGAAATCGATACTAAAAATTACTTAAATTTGAACTTTCATAGGCGCTTTCAAATCGATACATTAAGTCCCTGTTTGATCCTCATTATCTGAAAATGAAAATGGGGGGAATAATATTTTTTAGAAAAATGAGTGGTTGAAAAAGAAGGAAAAATTTTCGAATTACGTGTAATATTATTTTATGAAAAATTGTGTAGTTGAAAATAGGAGAGAGTAAAATGTAATGTAATGTAATTTAATTTAATGGGATCAAACAGGGGCTAAAATATCCAAAACTCCAAACCGGCTTCTGTAGGACCTTTTAATTACAAAATAACAAACGTGACAAGGTACAGAAAATTGATCAAGACAAACTGTCACTGCTAATAAAACTCAAGAACACGCACACGGACAAAAGAAGCGAGTTTTGCAAAGACTTCTTCCTGTTTTCTGCAGATTCCGTCATTTAACAAATCAACTCCCTCATCTATAGCCCTATGAGGAGAATTTCCGTCTCGTTTAATCGCGCAGTCTTGCAGTCATGAACCGCGTTTCAATTCCTCAAATCTCCATATTCACTTTCTCAGTTCTTGTCCTTTTGTTCTCCATCTTTTTCCATTTCTCTCTTGACCAAGAAAAGCGAACTTCGATTAAGATTGAGCCGCCTCAGGATACCCATGTGAAGAATCACATAATCCGATTCATTCAGTACAAGAAAGCCCAGGACCACAGAGAATATCTTGAACGCAATGTGAAATTAAAGGGGTGGGAATGGGTAGAGAGGAAAAACCCTGCAATGAAATTCGACACCGATTTCGCACTTGTAGCGATTCAAGAATTTATGTTGGAACTTCTGATTGGGGAGTTTGGGAAATTGGAGCTGGTTAAGGATGTGTCGTTGGATTTGAGCTACCAGAGAGGGGTTCTTGAAGAGAGGAATGGGAAAGTTGGGGCCTTCGTGGATGGTAAGAAAAGGCCAGGCAAGATTTTCACCGCCATGTCCTTTGACGAAGACGAGAATTATGATGCAGTGGCGAGCACGAGTAGCTCAAGAATTACCTGGAGGAGGAATCTAATGATGCGGGTGATTTTTATTTTTATTTTTTGGGATTCTTGTTCGGTGTTAGTAATCATGTTACTGGTTGGTAATATCTGAATGGAAGTACTTTTTTTGCGGACATGAATAGAAGTATAGATGATAAAGGAGAAAAATCAAAATTCTTAGTTAATATGAATGGTAGAAATTTATATTATTATAAAATCTTGAGCATTAGATTTTTTTTTATGGTATATTCCTTCGGTCTAAGACTTATCGTCACTTAGCTTAACTCCTAGTTTTAGAACACCTAGTAATTCAGAAATAATCTAATACTCATTGAAAGCCTGATATGGTATCTTTAAATGAATAGATGCATTATCTCTAATAAAATTGAATTTGGAGTAGATTAATTTGAATATATCAATTGGCACGTATGTACTTTTCCTTTACTGCAATATTTGACTGTCAGATCATAGGATGAGAAGGCCAGTTATTCTTGTTTTAGTACCAAGGAGATTAAAAATTGTTGTGGCACTTTTCCTTAATCAGCTTGACAGGGTGAATTACTGCCCAATAACCTGAATGAGAACCCACTGGTTTCTTCCAGAAATCATTGTTTCTTATTGCATGAAAAGACACTTAGGGAAACAGAGTGTTCTTGCACGAAAGAAATAATCTGATGCTTATCCTAATTGGTTGACAGGATAAGATTACTGCTTCCTGGTCTGAATGAGGATGTTCTAGTCCTTTATTGTTAGTATGTATAGTTTGTACTTTGTACGCCTGTATGCTTTTGTGGTTTGTACTTGAATAGGCAGGTTAGTTGAAGGTCATTTACTTTACTTATGAGCAAGTTGCTGGAATGCTTGGTCTCTTCTATGTTTTGGTCACTCCTGTAGTCATTATTTATAACATGGAGCTTAATTTCTGTTAAAAGAACTCAGTAAAACATTGTCGATTGTTAATTGGTTGAGTACTTTCTGCTAAAACTTTTCTCTGTTCTCCCCTTTTCTTTTAAAACTTTATCCAGTCTCATTATCCGAGCTGTATTTTGCAGGGACCTCAGATTACGTCCTTGTTTGGAGCAGATGCACTCTGGTCAAAGGGGTATACCGGTGCAAAAGTGAAAATGGCTATTTTTGATACTGGAATCCGAGCACTGCATCCACATTTTCGTAATATCAAGGTACCCCTTTGCCGTGAGGAAAGACTGGAATAAGGCTCTTTCCTCGATTCTCATCTTTTCTGGCTTTAGTTCTTGATCATGGGCTGGACAATTTTCAGGAACGCACAAATTGGACAAATGAGGATACGCTAAATGATAATCTTGGACATGGGACTTTTGTGGCTGGTGTTATTGCTGGCCAAGATGCTGAATGTCTTGGTTTTGCTCCAGATGCCGAAATATATGCTTTTCGGGTGTTTACTGATGCACAGGTAATGCTACTGCACATTTATCTGCTGCTGATCTCAGATTTTTGCTCACTAGACCTTGACATCATGGTGGGGTCGTAATTTTTTTAAGTTTGCTCATATGGCATTGTAACATTTACTGTTTGCTTCCGGCAACTGGTTTATTTGGAATGGAAAATAAAAATGTACGATAGATAATTATAAAGCTTCATGTACCTTTTGTTGATTCAATTTTTGTTTTTGTTTTTCTTTATTTTGTTCTCACATATCTGGGAGTTGTAACATAGAACAAATATCCGATTTTATAATTACAAATGAAAAAGGTGGATATCTATGTTTTAATCCTTGCATGAAGAGTACGAATTCTTATGTGTGTATATTTTGTCTTTGTACGTAGTACAAGGACTATGCTTATTCTCATAATAATAATAATAATAATAATAATAATAATAATAATAATAATAATTATTATTATTATTATTATTATTATTATTATTATTATTATTATTATGACCGTGGGTGTTTGAGCCAGTTTATGCGCACATCGACTAATCACACGGGCCCTGAAGTTTACAGTCGGGTACTCACCTCATTGACTCTGAGGAGACTCGAACTGGTGACCATTGAGGAGCAAACTCAAGGTCTGACGATTGAGCTATCCCTGAGGGTTCTTATTCTCACAATTACAAAAAAGCATCGCTTTGTTTTGGACTAATTTTTGATAGAATCTAGAATTGGAATAGAAAGGAATGGGGAATAAGAGTCTGGATTTCATGTTTTCACTAGAAGATCTTATTTTGTCTGAGAATGGACTGTTTACTATTTCTATCTCAAGGCAATTATAGACTGAGGTAGGGTGAGGGTTTCTTCTGACAGGTTTCTTCTTAATTACTAATACAACATTGCTGAATCAGTTTCGTTGGGATTTCAGAAAGCTTTATATATATATCGTGCCAAATATCACTAGATGTCCCCTTTTCGAATTCCTCAAATTCTATAGAACCCTGTACTCCAAATGCTGTTGATCACTATGTTTCTGATAATATACATATTTTGAGCTACTGTAAGTATTCTATGATTATAGAGATAACCCCAATCTTGGTGGACACTAATAATCTATGCCAACTATTTCAAATGAATGCAAAGAGGTCATCTTTGCGAATGGAAATTTGGAACAGTGAACACCCACATCAGTTCTAGAACCAAGTACCAGTCGGCGTTAATAATGATGCTGTAAATGGATATGGAAAATTATTGTCTAGAGAGGGATGAGCAAGAAAGTTCCCAGGGATGGTCACAAAATAAAAAAGTTAGGCATGATAGATTGACATTCAAAATTTTGCACCGTTTCGATGTTTTTCTTTTAGCTCCATTCGACTGATTGTGTCGATCGCCAACCTAGGACAAATTTTGACTAGGGCCACCATAGTCCAATCATAACTGTGACGTGAATGCTAGTTAAGTGGTCTGCTTTTGGATAAAAATGCTTGTATTATTTCCGTGCTATAGATTTGTGCATTTGTCATAGGTTAAAATTACTCAGAGAGAGGATGTAAAATTTTGAAGATTGATATCGTAATAAAAAGAAATGTAAGAAGAGGAAAAGTGTAAAATTAGGTATTACTATTCTGCCAAATGAAGGAGATAGTGTTGAAGTAGAATCATGTTGTGTTATCTTTGCTTGGAAACATCATTAATGGCCTAGATTATTGAGCTCGCATGGTTAACTATTGCCTACAAAAATTGGGAATACCGTTCCCAATCTACATTAATATACTGAGTTAGGAGAGTCCTATACATATGTGTCTTCACAAGCTTACATACAAATATGCATGCACACAAATAACAACAAACTAAGCATTATTCACAGCAAATTTGATTTTCTCTAAATGAACCCCTTTTGTTCAGATTATCCCTATATGAAGCATTATTTCCAACAAATTTGAGGTTGTTTACATGAATCCTCTCCTTTCAGATTATTCCTACATGTACACCGAAATATCTAATGCAAATTGATCTTTCATAACCACTACAGACCAAATTCTACCCCTTCCACTTCTAACGTGTACCCTTTTAGATCTATGCAAAATATGTAGCAACCATCTTACTTTTCCTTCGTTAATTTATTCTCAACCTTCATGGGTTCTCACTTTATTCTTTTTTAGCTATGTTCATCCTATGGACATTTTTTCCTACTAATAACCTTACACTCGGGGACCATAAAGCATGGCAGGTTCAATGAGTTTTGTAAAACTTGAGGGATCCGCTTATCACTAAATCCTTATAGCATGTCTCCATTTCGTACTACTCTAAACTATGCATGACATCCTCTTCAAATTCATTAATTGGTCCTAACTTTCCAAAATATTATCATTTGTGGCAAAACATTCTTCTATAGTGATTCCACTATTTTCTTTATACATATTATCACTAAAAGGGCATTTTATGTATTCTATCTGAGTTCTAGTTAGCCTACAACATTTTAAGCTTCGAATTGCTCCTCCAAAGTTTTAACCTACTATTAACCTCCTCCTATTCTCATCTACTAGAGATATGCAATCTACATTCTTGCTTTTTGACATTGTCGGACATCGAAATGCCCTGTGAGGTTTGTCCTAGATTACTTTTTCTTTTCTCTTCACTACACCTGTAACATGCCACGAATTAATAGATACATGTTATATGATGTGGTAAAGTTTTCTTGGTTATCCTCTTCCTTTATTTGGACTTGGAATGAACTATGAAGAAATTTAGGTAGTTTTATGCAAGCAAATACATACAAAGTTCTATGAGGTGCAAGGCGGTAAGCTCAAACATTAACCATTACGAGCCTAGACAATAAAAAGGCGATTTCATATATTTTAATTATCATAAGGCCATTAAATAAAAAAATAATAATACATACCTAGAAAGTTAAAAAGTTAAAATAATTGGCAAACAACTGATCATAATAGATTAATACATTTTAATTGAAGTGTTTCTACTTTCAATATTCTATTTGTTAACTCTTCCTTTTATTTAATTAGTTTAAAAAAAACAAAAAGGCCGCAACTTTTGGTGTTTTGGCCCGCATTAGGTGATTAAAATAGGTTTGACCGCTTTTTCCCATGCCTTCCCTATATGTGGGGCTTTTTCGCGCCTCATGTCTAGACCCTGCCTTTTTGAACACTGATCATATATGTATCTTGAAATTTTCCTTTGGAACTTTAATATCCTTTTGGCCATTCTGAATATTTTATTTGGTTGTCAAATTTGGGAAGAATGTCTCTAGTTTTTGTTTATCTTGATTAAAATTTAAAGAGTTGGAAAAGGTTGTTTGATAATTATCTTTTAAACCAATAATTCAGTGGTTATATGGTTGATTTCCCCCATGTTTTCATCTTATACATATACCATTGTTTGATTTGTTGTTTCCCTTCTTTTACAACATGTTCACGTATTTACAAATCTTGAACACCTCCGCTTCTTTCATTATGGGGGTTAGTAGATAATGGGGTATTAGCATCAGCCGTATAGTCTATAAGGCACATATTGAAGTCAGTTAAATTTTTTATTAAATAATTGTACTCTGCCTGTTTGATGTTTTCAAGGTAAAATAATCTTAATTTATTCAATCCACTCGATTCCTTTGCTACAACACTAGGTTGTACATTGCATTACACAAACTTCTGCTGACAAAATGACATGCGTTCATGTTTTTGTTAATTTTGTTAAAATTGTATATGAAAGCCTGCCTCCCGAAACAATTGCAAAGGCGATAGGTCAAGTGCAGAAAATGTTGCTTTTGTATTTTGTTTCTCAAACATAATGCAAGTCATTTTTGGGGAAATTTTTTGTTTCTTAAATTTTAGCAAGTCCATAAGAAACTTCTATTCAGCTCATTCCAGGTATCATACACGTCATGGTTCCTTGATGCATTCAACTATGCAATTGCAACCAAGATGGATGTGCTAAATTTGAGCATTGGTGGACCTGATTATCTTGATCTTCCGTTTGTGGAGAAGGTTAGATCACATTGGCCTTTTGGTTATTCTGCATTGATTTCTCATTTCCTCTAATTGGCTTCTCTGATGATTCTAGAATCGTATGTGCAATCTTTCAAGTAATTTTTCTTGGTTTGTCTACTGGTGCTTTAGTCGCTAGTTACCTGCTCTTTGTTTTATATGGTATCTAAAATAACATAGATGCATTACGCAGTTTTTCTTAATTTATTTGTTTTTGCCCATTTGTTGCTGCATATTATGCCAGTTTCAAATATCAAAATATCCAGATTGGTTTTTTTCTTTGTTTTTTGGTGTAATGAGATTGATTTTCATGTATTAGTTCCGTAAGGATTAAGTATATGTTATTGTCGTCATTAAGATGATTTGAAGAGCGTAGAGTTATAAAATTTACTAACATCACCTCAAAAATTGATCACTTGTTTAGAGTAGATTAGGCTTCTCCGGCATTAAAACTTCAAATCTAATTTCCTAAATATGCTAAGAAGCAAACATCATCTGACAACAGAAGTTTCTGGTTACCTTGCTGATCAGAAGTGCTTTTTTTTTTTTTTGGTATCTACGCCTTTTAGGTTTGGGAAATTACAGCCAATAATATTATTATGGTATCAGCAATTGGAAACGATGGACCACTTTATGGAACTCTGAACAATCCAGCAGATCAAAGTGATATAATTGGTGTTGGTGGTATTGATTACAAAGATCACATTGCCTCATTCTCGTCACGTGGCATGAGTACTTGGGAGATACCTCATGGGTAGTGTATTGGCATTTTTATCTGCTTTTTCCTATGTTTTATTTTGTTTCTTTTTCTATTGTTCTTTGGTCAAAGATAATTAATTAGATTTGTGCTAGACTTGGATCTGACAAATTTAATATCTAAGTTTAGAAGAAAGCAGATGTATTGTGACATTTGCATTCTGCATAAATACAAGTCCTGTGCATTGTTATTAAAAAACATTCAATCGTATTCCCAAAAAACAATTGGCAAATTTTGTCTTGTGTGGAGATGAGAATTTTCATCATACTTGCAGTTGATATAAAGTAGAAGTGGTAGACCAGAAAGAAATTACAAAGAAGACAGTAGCTGGCTATCTTGTTTCTTCGCTTAATACGTTCTCAATTTCAGTTCAGCCTAATATTGGTTCATTCCTAAGCATGCACTCTCTTGAGAGCGATTGCCCATGTTAAAAAAGGTGAAAAGTATCGTGAGCTTTACTAAAATTTTACAATAAATGCATAATGGTAGAAGACCTTGTCTTGAAAAAAAAAAAAAAAAAAAAAAAAATCTTGCTAAACTGTGTATACTACAAAAAATTCAATTTTGCTAACTTTGTTCTAACAGCTACGGTCGTGTGAAGCCTGACATTGTTGCTTATGGACGGGAGATCATGGGATCCAAGATTAGTACAGGATGTAAAAGCTTATCAGGCACCAGCGTGGCAAGTCCTGTAGTTGCTGGTATAGTGTGCCTACTTTTTAGCATTATTCCTGAAAGCAAGCGAAAAGAGATTCTCAATCCAGCCAGTATGAAACAAGCACTTGTTGAAGGTGCTGCAAAGCTCTCTGGTCCCAACATGTATGAGCAGGGTGCAGGCAGGGTTGATCTGTGAGTGCTCTTTTCTGTAAAATAAATTGACTTGATGACCATATTCTATATTCTAACCTTGAACTGTGATTGCAGACTGGAATCGTTTGAAGTTTTGAAGAGTTATCAACCTCGGGCTAGCATTTTCCCCAGTGTCCTTGATTATACTGATTGTCCTTACTCTTGGCCTTTCTGCCGTCAACCGCTATATGCAGGTGCCATGCCAGTTATCTTTAATGCTACTATTTTGAATGGGATGGGTGTAACTGGTTACATTGAAAGTCCACCAGCATGGCACCCTTTGAATGAGGAAGGCAATCTTATCAGCATTCACTTCACTTACTCAGATATCATTTGGCCATGGACTGGTTTTCTGGCACTTCACGTGCAAATCAAGGAAGAAGGGGCACAGTTTTCTGGTGAAATAGAGGGCAATGTAACTGTTAAAATTTATAGCCCACCAGCCCAAGGAGAGAAACTCCCTCGAAGTAGTACTTGTTTCCTAAGCTTGAAACTAAAAGTTGTTCCTACTCCACCAAGATCAGCAAGGATCTTATGGGATCAATTTCACAATATCAAATACCCGCCTGGTTATATCCCAAGAGATTCCTTGGATGTTAGGAACGACATCCTTGACTGGCATGGAGACCACTTACATACAAATTTCCACATAATGTTCAATATGTTACGAGACTCAGGGTATTATGTAGAAACGCTTGGTTCTCCTTTTACTTGCTTTGATGCTCACCAATATGGGACACTTCTGCTGGTAGATCTTGAAGATGAATACTTCGATGAAGAAATAAAAAAACTGAGAGATGATGTGATCAATACTGGACTAGGTCTTGCAGTCTTTGCTGATTGGTACAATTTGGAGTCTATGGTGAAGATGAAGTTTTTTGATGATAATACAAGGAGCTGGTGGACGCCTGTCACTGGAGGTGCAAACGTGCCTGCGCTAAACGATCTTTTGGCCCCATTCGGGATTGCTTTTGGAGATAAGATTTTAAATGGTGATTTTCTTATGAATGCTCAACAGAGTCGTTATGCATCTGGAACTGATATTGTGAAGTTTCCAAGGGGCGGATACTTGCATAGCTTTCCTTTCATGGATAGTTCAGAGAGTGGTGCCACTCAGAATTTCCTACTATCGGGTATGAGCAAGGTGAGATCATGGGATAATTTAGATTTTTCCTCTTGTCTATTAATAAAGTTGCAAAATCTAACAAATAAGAGGCAACTAAGCCTGTTGATTATTTTAGTGGTTTGCTTCTGGTTAATTAGCTGTGTACACTTCCTACTTTACTGGATAAATGAGAACTAGATGAGCATCATTGCATCTTAAAATATTTAGGCACTCGACATACTCTTCATACAGTTGATTTAGGACTTGTTTGGCATGGCTTTTGAAAAGCCAAAAAGAGCTTTTGAGATCCAAAAACTGCTTTTGGACCCGTTTTGCTAATTTTATGAAAGTGCTTTTGGTAGTTAAAAAAGCTTTTAAAAGAAGCTGATCCAATGTGACTTCCTTTATTCCGGAAGTGTTTTTAAAAAGTAGTTTCCAAACAAAAATTAAGGTAATTTCCTCTAAAAGTTCTTTTACAGAAAGCAAAAGTCATGCCAAATGGGCCTTTAGTCTTTTTCCTTGCATTAGTGAAATGTCTAGTGAGATGTTTGGGTATAATTAACTATGCCTCTTCAATTTCATGCAGGCGGATTCACCTATTCTTGGTCTTTTGGAGGTTGGTAGTGGACGAGTTGCAGTCTATGGAGACTCCAACTGTTTGGACAGCAGCCATATGGTTACAAATTGTTACTGGCTGTTACAGAAAATATTAGATTTTACTGCCAGTGGTATAAAAGATCCAGTGCTCTTCTCAGATTCAAGTAGACAAGATAAACCATTGTACCTCGACAGGAAGCAGCTACCATCTCGCAGAACAGATGTGAATTTCTCAACTTACTCAGCTGTTGTTGACAAAGAATTGATTTGCCGGAGAGACTCAAGGTTTGAAGTATGGGGAACAAAGGGCTATGATTTACATGTGAGGGGAAGAAATCGAAGAATGCCAGGCTATGGTTTTATTGACATGGGTGGAGGTTTAAACTCTACTCATCTAGATCAAAACTCCAAATCAGCCGCTGACTTGGACATATTTTCCAGAGATGATGTAAGAATAAAACCTGCAACACAGTTAACTCTATTCCCTTGTATTCATTATGTGTTACTCTCTTTAACATGCATTAGAAGGCTGATATAAATTTACTTGTCTTACAGCTAGATTTGCTGGTGGTTGTCTCTAGACATTGGCTTATACCAGCTATTGCTGTTCTTGGTGAGTGCTAGTCAATGTTTCTTTGTTTCATAAACGATTTATACCGTTCTATTCTTCTTGCATTTTTTTTGAAACGAAACGTTGATATTTGTGGTTGCTGTTTGTAGGGCTTATACTTTTCTTGAGCTGTTGGAAAATTAGGCAGAAGCGCCGGCGGAGGAGAAAAGTATCTTCGACCTCTCTCCGTTATGCTAACCTTTGAATTTAGAACATTGGATTTAGGAAGCATTTTCATGACTGCCTATTCAATAGTTTTCGTTCTTGTATCATAGCTCCAGATTTTGTGCAGTAGAATTAAAGCAACAGTTTTGCATTGAAGATATAGCATTTTCTTTCCAGGTGAACAGATTCTTTGAAATGCAAAGAAATATGCAACTGAAGAATGGTTTTTTTTTTTTTTTTAACATTGGCCTCTTGTATTGAAAAAGACAACTGTGCCCTTATTTATGTTCCACAATTACGAAAATATGTTAATTCTTTGAAAGACATTAATACATTTAAAAGTTTAAATAAATTAAATCACTTCCACACGTAAATTTCAAAATCAATTTTGCTTATCAGTTTCTTCAATATAGTTAAAAAGAAATTTTTTCTTCCATTTGCTAGAATAGTGAAATTTCACAAAATTATCAAAGGTTCAATTAAAAAAAAATAATAATTACAGTCGGCATTGGAAATTGGTAAGTGTAAATACGTATTTTTAATTTTGTTTTAGTTAAATTTACTGTTTGAATCTTTAAATCTTATTTTGACAAAGACAGATGAATTATTACAGTATTTAAAAACAGATATATAATTTTGTATAGCAAAAACGAAAAAAAATTCATCTCTGTATACATATATTTTACAGGAAAAATTTATAGGTTTCTGTAAAATAAATATTTAAACATTAGTTAGTTGAAAAAAGAAAAAAATTAAAAAGTCCAGCCGGCCCTGATTTCTGGGTCGGCTGGACGCATCTGACTGTTCATTTTTTTTCCTTTCAAATTTTATAATTTATTTGTTCATATTTAATATATGTTTATTGAAGTAAATATTAATGAATATCTAATACTAATTGAAATAAATATTTTTGAAACAATTAAAATAATCAATGAATTATTTAAAGTATAAAATTAAATTAAATATGAAATGAACAATTTAAAAAATTATATATTAATTCCTTATTTTTAATTTGTGGCAGATATGACATTAGCATGTGTCCCAATTTGTTACTTCGGTGAATTTCAAATGAATGAAAATGCTCAGTGAGAATGAAAATGGACGAGTGAAAGAGATGGGGTTAAAGCAATTTTTATAATAAGGAGTACATCGTTTGCAAAAATGTACTATGATATACAAAACATGCTTAACGTCGATCCTTCTCAGTACGATATGGAATTGGGATTTTTGTTTCATAAGCATTCAACCATTCCAATTCCACCTATGAAAGTTACTTCTGAAGTGGAAATGAAACATCCAACTAAATTGAACCAAGGTCAAAAGTCGACTCCTAGTTGCGTAACTTTATTGGGGAAGAATGTCCACGAAGGTGAACACAAAGTTTCAAACAAAGAAAATTGTAATATAAATGGTGTTTGTGATACAATTCAGATTGTTCATGAAGATGATGTAGTTATTCCCGAGACCACTGCTACTCACCATGATCACACTGTTACGTACATAATTCCATCGATAGTTGAAGACAATGAAAATGAAAAAGTATTTACAAACGATGATTTGATTGTTTTATCTCGTAGGAGACATGAGTCGGGTGGGAGCTCACAGGCCGGACCAAGTACACGGTCCTCGAATTGTTCCCGTGTAGTTCCAGATGATGAAGATGGAGGGATGACAATTTGAACCATCAAAATCGAAAATCACGGTTAGTCGAACCGAATGGGGCGAAAAAAATCAAACTGATGGTGCAATGGGGCGGATATGGTTTTTATTTTTATGAACCGGTTCGTGGCGGTGCGGGTATGATATTTACGCCGTCGAACCGAAACCAAACCGATTACCCGCTAAAAAAAAAAACAATTGAACTGATTATTGAGCTTTACACTACTTTTCTATCTAACCCAAAACAAAATCCCTCCATTACATCTACATGACTTAGCCGACCAACCCACTTACCATTAACCTATAATAATATCATTAGTATGACAATATATAAATACAAACCCTACTCTCCACAGACTACAAACTCACGCACGGCTCCTTTTATTCTCTACTTACATTTCTTATTTACTATATATGAATCAACTTTGAGTGTTGATCTATGCTAATAAGACTTGTGGGGAAGAATGAATCAAGTAATTTTGATGCACAACAATTAAGAATGAAGGAAAAATTCAGTAATGTTATATTTATAAGATTGTTTGTTAAATTTGTATTTTACAATTGAAAATTTGGATAATGTTTGCATTTTCGTTTGGAATATTGTGTTTTTATTTTCATTGACTTCTTTCATAAATTGTTTTGTATCAATTTGACGGATGAACTTATAAAAAATAATTTATTTCTATGATTATTAATCAAACCCAACCGAGATACGAACCGAACCAAATCGAACCGATTTACGTGATTATGATGCGGTTATGGTATGGTCAAAAAATTGGTGGTGCGGTTATGGTTTTGGCCGAACCGACCCATAACCGAACCATTGCTAACCCTATGAAGATGTATATGTCGAGCAACTATTTGAATCAAATAAAGAATTGCAAGAAATTGTGCACCAGATTGCTTTATAATATAACTTCGAGTTTAAAATGAAGAAATCAAACAAGTCGACGTACAAAATTATCTGCGTTGACGACAGTTGCCATTGGCGTTTGCAAGCGACTAAGATGAACACGAATGAGTTATTTGTAGTCCGTAAGTATGCACGGGAACATACTTGCAAAGTGGGTATTCGTCGAAATGATCATAGGCAGGCCCGATCATAGTTCATTGGTCGAGAAATAATGCACAAGTTCCAGAACCCACGAACGATCTACAGACCTTCAGACATCATTTATGACGTTTGACGAGAGTACGGGATGATCATGAGCTATCAGAAGACTTGGAGGGCTAAAGAATGTGCATTGGAGGATTTGATGGGTTCGACCGATGAGAGTTATGCTAAATTAGCCAGATATTTCATTGTTTAAGTATTTATTTCTTTGTTATTTTACTTTTTAATTATTTTATTTCAATTGTTTATTTATATATAATTAATTAGTTAATTGAATTGTTTATTTTTCTGTTCATTTAATATTTAATAGATTATCTAAATTATGATTATTTTTATTTACATTGGCCAGGTATTGCTATAACATGTGAAGAATTAATACTGAATCGGTATTTTTTATTGAGAAGGATGATGATAATCGCTTCAAATATTTCTTTATCGCCTTTGGACAATGTGTTTGAGGATTTCGAAATGTAATGCGACCCCTAATCTTAGTCGACGGTACAACCCTTAAGACGAGATACGGGGGCAAGTTGATTATTGCAACATGCCAAGATGCGAACATCCAAATTTACCATCTTGCGTTCGGCATAGTCAACGGAGAAAATGATGTAGCGATGAGTTGGTTTTTCACAAAGTTGAGGGAAGTAATTGGGGATGTTAAAAACCTTGCATTCGTAACCGATCGAGGGTAGTCAATAATAAATGGTATCTCCGAAATCTTCTCCGAGGCACATTATGATTATTGTATGTACCATATACAGGGAAACTTGAAGACCAGGTATCGAGGCAAGGGCATCATTGCGTTGTTTAGAAGAGCTGCAGAGGCTTACAGTTTTGAAGCGTTTGAAAAGTTCATGGTCGAAATAGACAGTAAGTCGCATACTGCATGGGAGTATCTAACAGAGATGGGGATTGAACATTAGGTATGATTACATTTTTCAGGATGTCGATACAACATGATGACGTCGAACAATGCAGAGTCGTTTAATGCTTTATTCAAGAAAGATCGAGAGTTATCAATTCTCGCAATGATTGAGAACATTCGTGACAAGCTACAACAATGGTTTCATGATCGACGTGAGGAATCACAGAGTTGTGCAAGTGTGTTAACCCCGGCTCAAGAAGATAAACTCTTCAAGACTCTAGATGTGGCGAGAAATGTATATGTAGAACCACTAGATCAGTTTCGCTTCTCCGTGAGATGTGCACGTAATTTCGGATACATCGTGGACTTGAATGATAACACGTGCACGTGTAGACGGACGTGATCTCCTCAGTGGAGGTGACATCCTCAACGGAGGTAGTACTGAACGACCATCCTAAAAAAATAAATATTACAAGTGAAACACTTAATTACAAGATCAAAGCGATATTCAACAAATCCTGCACATTAACATACCCTATCTCGATCCACCCTGGACTCAGGCATTTGATCGTCATGCTCAATCCGAACAGGTAATTCGCGAATATAAAACTGACTCTCCTCCTTGATCGACGGTGCCAATTTAGTGAGAACTTCAAGCTGACATTTTGACATGTCACAGTTAATGACTATGTATTGAGATTATAAAAAGGACATACAACATAAATAGCAATTGTATAATATGTATCTCAGGATCGTCGAGGAGAGCCGATAACGGTCTTGCAAGCGGCTTGTCTTGTGCTCGCCAGTGATGCATCCGAGGACAGCGTGTCTCCCCTCTCCTCGCATACCGACTGGCCAAGATGGCGACAGTCTCGTACACCCATATCTGCAGCAATTACAATTATTATGTATAGAATTCAATAAAAAAAAAGTGTAGGTAATTCATTAATTTAAACATATACCTGCAGCGCCAAAGGCATTTCATATGCATCGTACTTGCGCTCGAGCTTATCCCCCTTTGGCATCGAAAACCCCCTCCTAAACACGCGTAATGTATCTAGAAAACATCTCCAACCCCATGGGTAGTTGTTAAAGGCATCAATATCATCAACAACCTCCAAATGGAAAATGTCAATCGATGTCTTCTTGTGATGACACCGGAGTACGCTCCCGATGATAAGCACCAAGCTCAACTTTAGCCTATCAGACATCTGATCATATCTCCTTAATGCATCTCCCAACTGCACTAGAGTAACCGTCGTCTGTCCACGAAAATATTCATTCAACAGCCTCCTATTCCTCGGAACACAGGCCCTCGCCTCTTCTTCGTACGTACATCGCAGTCCCGTGACGAGGGCAAACTCAAATATGGAGAACGTCGCTACCTTGGCCCCAAGATCAAAATGGAGGGCGTCTCCGTTAACTGGCTTCAGCAACCGACATAGCAGGGCATCGAGCAGCTGCCCAGACCATTATATATCACGGAATGAATACAATGGCCATAAACGTGATCGACGTAATATGTCTGCGTGCTCGTCATCCAGCAAATCTAATAACAAAGTGAAGCTAGTAAAGTTACAATTCGACGTAACTTTA